CATGACACACTGTAGAGTCAGGTCAACTGAGCACGAATGAGTCACATTGGCATTAAAAAATAGCATGTCCCAAATTTGGTTTCATCTGATTTTAGCTTCTTAAAAAATACCTTATTTCCAGTGACGTCATTGAGCCATTGGACGTGACTCACCTCTAAGTTCCATTATTAAGCAGATATCTCTTAGTGAAAATGTTTTTAGCCCTTCATACTGTCACCATCGAATCAAATGCTCACAAAGTCACAATTATTGTCACTTTTCATTTGGTTTGTAACTCTGGGGCAAATTTTAGGGCTCTGTTATTTTTATATAGAACAATTTCTCATGGTAGTTAAGCAGCTGTTTATGTTTTTATATGTAGGAAATAATATGCAATTTCTACAACATGGAAGAGGTGGAAGTAAGATAACCGTTATTTTTACAATCAAAGAACTCAAACGGTGCGCTGCAGTATCTACGGGGAGGTTGTTAACATATTTATAGCAGAAGTAGCTGCTCTATGAACTGAAAGACAGAAGCTGCAAGCTAAAGAAATAAGAAGTCATATATTTATTGGGCTCAGCCGCGCAACACCTCCTCCTCGCAGCACTGCGGAGGCGGTGCTCCTGTGGTCAAGAGTGGAGAGTAAAAAAACAAAAAAGAAAACCCCAGCGTCAAAAGCAGAAGTGCCTTTTAAAACGAGAAGTAATTTCCGTTACGTCGGTTGACCAACAACAGATATCTCCTTTGCATAAGGCTTGCTGCAGTAACCTTTTCTAATAACTCATTATCACGAGAGCCTTGAAAGACTAGAATATTTAGCTTTTATTTCAAAACGCAGATTAAAGCCAATCAATTACTGTTGTTTGTTTTACTTTTAATTTTTGTTTTACAAATAATTATTTGTAAAACAAAAATTGTAAAAATAAGCAGGAAGGAAAAAAAAATAAAAGGATGTCAGAGTAAGAATAGACTAAGAATATAAATAAATGCACGATCACATCATAAACTGTTGGATATCCTAAAAACATCAGTAATAGTTCATATTTCCTGAGGGAATAAATGTTAGATACATTATAATAGAAATAGACTGGTGCAGGACTTTCATGCAGTGGATGAATTCTCCTCATTGGGCTCTGGAAGAGGAAAAGAGCAAAACATGAGAAAAACTCTCCCCTACTCCATGTGATCGAATTAGCCTTTTCCTGCACGGATAGATAACAGCAAGTACTCGATAAGTGATTTTCTGGCCTTACTGGGGTTACTTCAACAGGAGGAGGGCTTAAGTGTTCACCTGTCCATGTCCGGTAAACAGGAAGCTTGAGAGCAGGGTGCGTGATCTCCACGCAGACTCTCAGACGTGCCCTCTCGTTTTCTTTGACAACCCTGCTCAAGTTGACCTTATTGATGTGCAGCGCGCTCGGGTCGCCCTCTCCGTCCTTCTCTCCGTCCTCGACCACGTCTGACGTCGAGTCCTCGTCCCTGTCTATGGCGTTATTCTCCTCATCCACGTTTTCGTCGATGTACTGTATTCCTTCGATGTCGGGGTCTGTGACTGCCGCTTTTGTTTCTGAAAAGTGATGAAAGTTAAAAAAAAAAAACACATACAGAGCTGTATATTTTTGCTCTCTTACAATCACCCTCGCTTGTAAAATGAAAGTGGACATTTTAATGCACACCAAAGAAAGATTTCCTTAAGTGTTTATTTTCCTTTAAAAATAATCCTAGGGGATAGCATTCCACGTTTAGTCTACAAGACCATAGACAGTAGAAAGCATTCAGACTTTCAGCTTTCCAGGTGTATGTAAACTGCATTCTATCCGACGGCCAGCAGATGGCGACAGTTGCATGGCAAAAAGAATAAAATTGAGTCTGTTTCGTATATTTTGGTCACAATATGGAGGATTATCTATGATATGAAAAGCTCATTGTCTAATGAGCTGTCAGTCCCA